TTGATCATATTAGAATAGTGTCGATAATTTGTTCAAAGTAAGAAAACGCGCCAAACATTGTCATGATTTGAGAAAACATTAAATTTATCAAACCAAACCTAACATGATCAAGAATCTCGATAATACAAATACGATCAACACTGATCATATCAAAATTGTGTCGATAATTTGGTCGAAGCAATAAAACGCGCTAAACATTGTCATAAATCGAATGAACAAAGACAGAAATGGTGGCAAATCAATTCATAAATGGAGAAAATGTTAATTTTTATTATATTGCAAACAAAATCTTGAATATACAATTATACAAATGAAATATATCATATTTATCATATCATATCAGATCATATTTGTTCATACGATTCATGTACATGTATGCATAACACAAAGAAAATATGTTTTTAATATGAAAAATGTCATAATTAACAATGTTGTTGAATAGACTTGAAAATTACGTTGATAAGTGGAAGACAAAGACAAGGATTTTTTCAAATATAAATTGGTTGTTTCAATTTTAATTAAGGATTTTCCCGTCTCTGGAGCTGATTAGCAAACAAATAACCAGGAAATTATTAGTAAATTACTTAAATAGGAATTATAATTACCATTCTCCGTCGTTCGCGTTGTTCAATGGTGTTTTTTTGCCCCCTATACTTTGAAATTATTAAGTCCTATTTTTGAAATAGAAAAAAAATTATCTATAATTCTATTAAATTATTCAATTATATAAACGTACAATCAATTTTTTGTCATCGTTTCCGTAATACCGACTAAATCTTATTTTGATCATTGGATACATTTCTATCAATTTGTGAGCAATACGTCGAAAGTCGAATTGTGGAATGTAATGCAAATATGGCTTCTCTGGCCCTACTAATTGGTCAATAATTGATTTTACAATGCTAATTAGATCACGTTCGAAAGATGCTTTGCTATCTAAATTTTCATCGATTCCCACTCTTATTATGTTCGAAATGTTGTTATCGAATTGGGGAAAGCAATAATTATGGATGTTTATGAATTCCCCTTGAAAAAAATGTTCATTCGAATTCTGAAGTTTAAAATTTCAAAATAAAAAAAAATTAGAAATATATCTAATGAACGAATCAATGGATTACACTTACGGAATTGATATTCGGTTGTTGTTGTCGTTGTTGTCGACGCTCTTCTATTATTTGTCTTCTTTGTTGGCGAATTCTGATTTGTTGTTGGATTGGTTCAGGTTGTTCGATTGGTTCAAGATCATGATCATCATTTAGCTGATCTTGTTGTCGTTGTTGTTCTTCGGCAATGCTATTTGGGTTAAAAAAAATGTGAGTTATTTTGTGATGTTAATAATCAAATTGAAGGCTTACTTTGCCATTATTGAAATTATAAAAAAATTTATTTCGAAATCAAGATGTATACTTGGTCGAATTTTCTATACGATTGAAATGAATATTTCAATTGAATGATGAAAACGAAGAATGTTGTAGTGTATTTTCGAAATCAAGATTACCGTAGTATCGAAACCGCGTAGTACCGCGTTGTACAAGTACTGTATTTCAATGGAATGATGAAATCGAAGAATGATATAATGAATTTTCGAAAATCCAAACAAATAACGTTACCTTCATATAAAGTGTACAATAAAATAGCCAAATTGTGGTAAAAACTTATACAAAAAACAAACAGTTAGATATTCAAATTAAAGATGAGAATTTATTCTTTCATCAATACTAATCAATAATGATAAAATTACAATTGAGTCCAGGTTCCAAAAGTTATACATAAATTATCGATTCCTGAGATCAAACTACACTACTGCTTGCTGGTCTTCCGTTTCCAACATTCCATTATTGGGTATTTTGGCATTTGGAACGTTTACTTTTTTAAAAAATTCAAATTCTAAACAAATAAGACGCATCAAAAGAGCTCAGAGCACAAAAAATTATGCTAAATGAAATGGGTAAAAATTCCTAGGGGTTAAAATCTTTACACTGACTGAGGTCAACAATATCATTTCACGATTGATTTTGTTCAAAATGCTTTTATTTAAAAATATTTACAATTGACAAAAAATTACAATTACTAATCTTGAAATGATATTGGATCGAAATTTATGAGACAAATCGTTTCATCATGATTATGACCGCACAAATTACAATTGTGTTTTTTGCAATCACGACTCAAATGATCTTGACCAAAACATTTATAACAACGATTTTCCTGAGAAATGATAAAAATTTTGTCGAAAATTTCCATTTTACAGTCTTTAATCGAATGGGATTCATGACAAAAAATACATTCATCAGATGACTGATGTTCAGTAGATTTCGGATCAGAACTTCCTGGTCTAATCGATTCCAGTTTGTCAACGTCATCAGTGTATTTCATTCGTTTTTCCATCGTCGAGTGTTGTAGCAACGATTTTCGAAATTTAAAGATTGAAAATGAAGGTTGAAAAATGAAATTTTTATTAGTAAATTTGTCCAATTTCTTATCATGCAGTACAAGGTCAAAGGTCAATGGTAAAAGCAAAGATTTCGAATCCCTCCTGGTTTTATGACCAATCTCACACAGCAAAATTTTTTTTTTGTTTTTTGTTGGTTTTTTCCACCAGCCTAAAAACAAATGATTGTTCAGGCCATGCTCATAAATTTAATTTTTTTACTTGACCTTGGTCAATGCAAAGATTTCGAATCCCTCCTAATACATGTATACACTATAGTTTTATGACCAATCTCACACAGCAAAAAAATTTTGGTTTTTTCGTGTTTTTTCGACCAGCCTAAGGGCGAATGATTTCTTAGGCCATAGCTTTTTTGCACAAGTTAATGTCCAGTAAATTGTTCGTTAGAGCTCGGATTTTCCAGTATAAATATTCTTGGCATTTTCTTTTAGATGTGGTATTTGTGATTTGCAATTTTTTAACTTACAGTTTTGATATTTGTGATTTACAATTTTTGAATTTGTGATTTTAGTTTTCGGTAGATGATTGTGGTACTTGTAATTTACAGTTTTTTGATTTACAGTTTTGATATTTGTGATTTACAATTTTTGAATTTTTGAATTTAGTTTTCAATTGGTGATTGTGGTATTTGTGATTTACA